CTGTCCATGGGGATTCTCCAGGCAAGAATACTGGAATGGGTTGCCATGACCTCTTCCAGGGGATTTTCCCAACCCAGGGATCGAACCCAGGTCTCCTGCACTGCAGGGAGAGTCTTTACTCTCTGAGCCACCAGGGAAGTGCCACCTGGGAAGCCCCAAATCAATTATATTGCAATAAAATTTTTTTTTAAATCTATATGTGAAATAATTCTCACTGAAAGCTAACTGAAAACTGGCAGAAAGACTCTTGTACAGCCATGGTTGTAAGAAAGACCCACATGCAATCAGGTAAGAAGAGAAGAAAAGTGATCAAATCAGCAACTGTGCACCTGGGAGGGAACTCAGAGGAAAAAGGGAGAATACAGGGACCAAGACCCACCTTGACGGGTGTGTGGCAAGACACACAGATCGGGTGCCCCAGCCCTGGGTTCCTAAACATGGGAGGTAGATGGAGGGCTGCTGGGACTAACAGAAGGGCTGTAGGAAGCCTGGACTCTGCTCATGAGGAGCAAGCACACACACAATGCCTTGCCTCCTAGTCAGGGGGAAAAGGGCAGTTAGAGGACTACTCTAGTGGTTGCTGGGTTTTCCTTGGTGTGCACAGCAGCCTGAACCGAGTGAACACTCCAATCCTGCCTAGTCCATATTGCAGCATGGCACAGGATCTAGGGCTGCCATGCCTGGGGAGAAAACTTGGCTGTGTCACACAGTGGTGACCGGGTCCTAGGGTAGAGCCTGGGTTGGTTGGCAGCAACCATTGTTGGCACTTACTCAAGCAGCACATCTGAGGCAGCCTAGAGCTCTGATGGTAGTTGCTCCACCATAGCTCACACCCTAATATGTGCTAAGAGTCCATATGAGCCTGCCTACCCTGTGGTGCACACCCACAAGAGGCAGGGGGAGTGGAGACGGGGCAGTGGTCAGCTGAGAGACAAAGGGGACTTGTACACAGGTTGTGTCTGAACAGAACAAAGGAAACAACTGTCGGCTCCCACATACGCAGCTCACTGAGAAAACCTGATCTCTGTCCGCAGCGGACATGATCTGAGAGCACGCAAGGACCCCTTTGCTTCAGCAGTACCCTCTTATGCACAAGGGTTCCAATACTGGGAGAAGTAAAAGTATTCACTTAGAGGAAACAGAACCAACCCTCAGGGCTTTTAGCTCCAGCATTTTGGGATCAGACTTCAATCCCAATAAGACTATGAAGGACCACTGAGTAGGGAGGAAGTCTCACCTCACACCTAGCTCCAGTTCTACCTATTCCATCTCCATGCATCCCCTCATCAAGGTGATAACTGCCAGTACACCCTGAGGAAAGACCTGACTTTGCATCCATGTCAAATCCAGCTCTCCTACCAAATGTGTTGGGAACATGCCGTCTGTATAGGGACACTCCCACATAAGGACAGCCCTCAACAGACAACTGTTTCACCTAAATACATAGACATAGAGAAAGTTAAGCAAAATAACAAGACAGAAGAAGTGGTCTCATTTGAAAGAGCAAGAGAAAATTCCTGAAAAATAATGAAACAGACATAAACACTTTACTAGATAAAGAATTCAAAGCTTTTGTAATAAAAATGTTAACCAAATTAGACGAAGGTTCGTGACATTGTACAGGAGACAGGGATCAAGACCATCCGCAAGAAAAAGAAATGCAAAAAAGCAAAATGGCTGTCTGAGGAGGCCTTACAAATAGCTTTGAAAAGAAGGGAAGCTAAAAGCAAAGGAGAAAAGGAAAGATATACCCATTTGAATGCAGAGTTCCAAAGATTAGCAAGGAGAGATAAGAAAGCCTTCCTCAGGGATCAGTGTAAAGAAATAGAGGAAAACAATAGAATAGGAAAGACTAGAGATTTCTTCAAGAAAATTAGAGATACCAAGGGAATATTTCATGCAAAGATGGGCTCAATAAAGGATAGAAATGGTATGGACCTAACAGAAGCAGAAGATATTAGGAAGAGGTGGCAAGAATACACAGAAGAACTGTACAAAAAAGATCTTCACGACCCAGATAATCACGATGGTGATTATCTATATCTTGGCTATTGTAAATTTATAAATAATACTGCAATGAATAGGGGGGTGCATTCATCTTTTCTAAGTAGTGTTTTCATTTTCTTTGGATAAATACCCAAGAGTTAGAATAGCAAGAGCATATGATAGTTCTATTTTTAATTTTTTGAGGACCCTCCATAATGTTTTCCACAGTGGCTGCACAAATTTATATTGCTGCCAACAGTGTACAAGAGTCCACTTTTCTCTACATTCTCTCCAACACTTGTTATTTGTCTCTTTGATAATAGGCTTTCCAATGGGTGTAAGGTGATAGCTCATTGTGGTTTTGATTTACATTTCCCTGTTGATTAGTAATATTGAGCATGTTCTCATATACCTGTTGGCAATCTGTGTGTCTTGATTACAAAAATGTCTGCTCAGAGTCTCTGTTCAGTTTTTTTAATTGGATTTTTTTTCCATTTATTTTTATTAGTTGGAGGCTAATTACTTTACATCATTACAGTAGTTTTGTCATACATTGAAATGAATTAGCCATGGATTTACATGTATTCCCCATCCTGGTCCCCCCTCCCACCTCCCTCTCCACCCGATCCCTCTGGGTCTTCCCAGTGCACCAGGCCCGAGCACTTGTCTCATGCATCCAACCTGGGCTGGTGATCTGTTTCACCCTAGATATACATGTTTCGATGCTGTTTTCTTGAAACATCCCACCCTCGCCTTCTCCCATTTATATTCTTCCCTCCTTTGTCATAGATTACTCAGTCATATAAGTGAGAGTTCATTTCTGGGTTCTCTATTCTGTCCCACTGATTTATGAATCCATTATTGTGCCAGTACCTTATTATTTTGATTACTGTAGCTTTGTAGTATACTTTGAAATAAGGAAGTGTGATACCCTCCAGCTTTATCCTTCTTTCTCAAAATTGTTTTGACTTGCCGGTCTTTTGTGATTCCACGCAAATTTTAAAATTATTTGTTCTAGTTCCGTGAAAAAATGTCCTTGGTATTTTGATATGTACCTTGATATGTGTCCTTGGTATTTTGATAGGGATTGCATTGAATCTATAGATTGCATTGGGTAATATAACCATTTTGACAACATTGACTCTTCCAGTCCACGAACACAGGATATCTGTCCATCTATTTATGCATGTTCAATTTCTTTGATCAGTGTCTCATAGTTTTCCAAATGCAAGTCTTTTACCTCCTTAGTTAGATTTATTTGTAGGTATTTTATTCCTTTTGACGCAGTGGTAAATAGGATTACTTTCTTAATTTCTCTTTCTGATACTCTGTTTTTAGCATATAGAAACTCAACAGATTTCTGTAGATTAATTTTGTATCTTGTAACTTTACAGAATTCATTGATGAGTTCTGGTAGTTTTTTGGTGATGTCACTGGAATTTTCTATGTATAGTACATGTCTTTTGCAAGCAGTGATGTTTTACTTCTTCCTTTCCAACTTAGATTTCTTCTATTTTCTTTTTGTTGTCTGATTGCAGTGACTAGGACTTCCAATGTTTTGTTCAGTAAAAGTGGCGAGAGTGGTCATTCTTGTCTTGTACCTAATCTTAGCTTTCAACTTTTCACTATTGGGGATGATGTTATCTGTGGGCTTGTCATGTGCTGTGCTTAGTCACTCAGTTGTGTCTGACTCTTTGCAACCCCATGGACTATGGCCCACCTGGCTATATGGCTAAACTGTATGTTTCTAGGAGTTTATCCATCTCTTCTAGATTGTTTATTTTATTGGTGTGTAACTATTTGTAGTAATTTCTTATGATCTTTTGTATTTTTCTGCTATCTGTTATAACTTCTCCTTTATCATTTCTGATTTTATTGGTTTGGGCCTTCTCTTTTATTCTTGATGAATCTGACTAATGATATACAAACTTGTTATTTTTCAATGAATTAGCTCTTAGTTTCAGGGGCCAGAACCCCTCACGGCTTGGGGAGAACCTCTACAATTGTATTCATCATCCAGTTGTGGATCTTCCATTCAAGAGTATGAATCTTAACTTTACTACATTTCTGCCCCTCCTACCCATCTTATTGTGAGTTCCTTCTTTATATCTGTAATTGTAGAACATCTTTTCTGCTAATCTTCCAATATTTCTCATTGATAGTTGCTCCACAATGACTCACAGACTTAGAGACCAAATTTATGGTTACCAGAGGGGAAGGGTGGAAAGGTAGGGTTAGTTAGGAAATGTGGGCTTGACATGTACACAATGCTATGTTTAAAATGATAACCAACAAGGACCTACCGTATAGCACAAGGCACTCTGCTCAGTATTATGTAACAACTTAAATGGGGAAAAAATTTGAAAAAGAATAGAAACATGTGTATGTATAACTGAGTCACTATGCTATACACCTGAACCATACTCCAATATGAAATTTAAAGTTAAAAAAAATACCTGCTCTATAAATAGTTGTAATTTTAGTGTGCCCATGGAAGCCCTACTCCACTTGATCACTCCCGCTAGTAGTGAGCTTTTTTTTAATCCTGTGAACTGTCCAAAAATATTTTATTTATTGTTTCAAATCTTGCATATACTAATTACTCTGATCTTCTTCCCCAAATTGGGCTAAAGGAAAGCATCCTAATATTATTTACACTGTCAATTTCCTTTATATATTTGATTCAATGAATCTTTGATCTTTATGCTAAAAGACATAATCATGATTCAAAAGAATTAGTTTTTTAATGTGGATCAGATCTTTTAAGTTTTAGTTTAAAAGAAAAAGTTTTAGTTTCATGAATACTTATGAGGTCCATGGAAGGGCTTCAGAACATCCTCTAAATCTTAATGCACAGTTTATAAATAGGTACATGTGCACTTTGTAGGAGTGTAAGATACATAGCCTTTCTCAGATTCTCAAAAGGTATATGCGTTAAAAAAAAAAAACCCTTAAAAATAACTTCTCTGGAATGATATAAATGTGCTTCACAGTCCAGTCTCTTTCTAATTAAGGAAATGTTGACATCAAAAACCTGGACACTGTACTTGGCAACATGGGAATCAAGATCACTGATGAGGAACTTAAAGATCTGACACAAAACCTGCCAGTCAGTGGTAAGTGTATTAGATACCATTGTCTTTTGAGCTTTGTACCTTTAACAGAGGAAGGAAAGAAATAAAGGAAATTTCATAGGAAAGATATCAAGATTGGAGGTGAGAAAGTTAAATAAGATGGGAATATTACTGTTCCAGGTACTGCTGGCATGGTCAATAGAAGAGTCTTTTGAACTCTGAGAACAAGAAAGCTGGCCTCTACAAAATAACCCATCTTTTCATTATCAAATATAAGATTTGATATTTTATTGGGTAGAAAGTCAAATTTACATTTTTGAAGAAAGCATTAATTTTAATACTTATAATATTTTCTAATCCATGTTCTTTGCTTATTTTGAATAAATGTTTATTGAATGACCATTTAAAATGCTTAACAAAATGCCCAGTACACTTATTAAGTGCTATTGCTAGTTGTTATAATCAGAAGAGGGGAGAGTGTTCTTATGTTATGTTAAATCATTTTATGAGATTCATGTTATGTTTTCTGTCTTACAGTTGATAATAAAGTGTCCCTTAAAACCTTGAAGGATGAAGTAAAAGCTTTTACAGGTAGGAATTTATTATAAATGGTTTATACTAAATCATGGTTTATGATAAAAATTTAATAGTATTTCCCAATATATAATATGTGACTTATAAATTAACATATTTTCAGTGTTCATTTTGATAAAATATTTTCATCTACTGACCAACAGATTAAGCTAACATTATCTGGGTTTTATAAGTAAAACAAAATGACTATTTCTTCATTAGAAGTCTTATATTTGATGGGTTTTTTATTCAATAAAAGTATTTCATGAGTATTTATGCCTCCAAAAACTAGATGGACAGAGTAAAAGCAGCGTGAAGCATTAAACATAATAAGTTCATTGCAAACAGCTAATCACATAGTTTTAACAAAATAAAGTAAAATAGGTCATACTCTGATGATTATGTATTTTATTGTACTAACCATCTCTTGGCCTAATTGTAGATAATTGTACAAACAGATTTGCTTCTATACTATGTGGTGTTATTCTAAGTAAGGAGTAATCCCATTTATTAAGGAACAAAATCTATTTTTGATTTGACCTTTTTTAAATGACTAGTTTGTTTAAAAATTTTTTTATTTATCTATTTATTTATTTTCGGCTGCGCTGCGTCTTCCTTGCTTTGCATGGGCTTTCTCTAGTTGCTGTGAGTGGAGGCTACTCTTCATTGAGGTGCACGAGTTTCTTATTGTGGTGACTGCTCTTGTTGCAGAGTACAGGCTCTAGGCATGTGTGCTTCAGCAGTTGTGGCTCACGGGCTCAGAGCACAGGCTCAGTAGTTGTGGCACACAGGCTTAGTTGCCCTGAAGCTTGTGGAATCTTCCCAGATCAGGGATTGAACCCATGTCCCCTTCATTGGCATATGGATTCTTACCCACTGTGCCACCAGGGAAGCTCTGATTTGACTTTTTATTAGGAAATCATTCATTCTGTAGCACAAGTATACTTGTAGATGATTTGAAATAATTAGCTTGGCCCTTAATGTTTTACCTATGAATATTCCATCTTTTCAAAGGAGAAAAAATTGATTCCAATAACCTACAAAATGTTCTAAAAGACATGGGAATTGAGCTTACAGATAAGGAGCTTGAGCAACTGATGAAAACACTGCCCATTGATGGTAAGCCACGAGAATGTACCATGCCTCCCAGGGAACTTGACCTTATGGGTCAGCGTGAGTAGCTCCTAATTGTTTAATAGTACAGTTTTGCCCCAAAATGCCATAAATCAATAGAAAGGCACTTTTGACTTGAGAATAAATTTCATCATTATCTCCTCAAACACAACTTGAGTCATCTCTAAGTGACTAATACTGTCCCTCAGGTGGTCAGCATTAGGTTAGCAATATGAACAATGAAAAATAATAAAAAAGAAAGGAATAGAACATCAGTAGAATAAAGCAAAAATATTTTTATGTATTTTGTAGAATTGCACTGTAGGAGAGTTAAGCTAATAAATGTCTCTAATACCAAGTAATAGATAAGTTTGCTACTGTGAAAGATATTTATATTCTTAAATGTCAATATTGTGGCTATAAAATAGACTAAATTTTAAAGCACATCATTAAAATGTAACTTTTTGTAATATACAATTTATAATTTTTCAGTGAATTTTTATGTCAATTTTCCAGAGATCTGAATTGTACCTTTTCTTACAGCTCATGGAAAGGTATTTCAAAACAGATTGCTGAAGGATGTGAGGAGTAACAAAAGTAAGCAAACATGGTTAGGCTTGTGAAATATCCTCCTCAAGTGTTAAATTCATATCAAGAAACTATAATACTTTATTTTGCTTCTGTTTTGCTTCTTACATCTGTGTTTTTTCCTGGTAAAAACCTTTACTTTATCTTAGAAGGAAGTTCTCTGATAGATTGCATTTTTCTAAATTTTTCTGAAAAAAAAATTTATATAAACAAATAAAAGAAAGATGAAAAAAAGAGATGAAGGAAAGGAAGGAGGGAGGGAGTAGAAGGAGTAGGAAGGAAGGCAAGAGGGAGAGAGGGAAAAGTTTTGCCATTTATTCCAGATGTGACGACGAATAGAGAAAAGAATCTGAGAGTAAGCACTGAGGGGGGAAAATGCTACTCTCTAATGCTAATGCTAATCTCTACTTCTTTGTGAAGAGTACTGATTAGTGCTCTCTCATTATAGTTGCTTAACTCCTATCCCACCTAGCATTTTCCTGAGCAGGTGTGCTTAAGGTTTGAGGAGAGAAATACTAATCTTACTTTAAACTCTTTAAATTCTAACTCTGCTTGTAAAGAGCTGGAAAAATCTATTGTAGTTTTGTTCTTTGCTTGGAAATATTAGCAGTTATACCAGGTTATGATGTCATTCTCTTTTATCAGTGTATATTCATGTAGCAGTAATACCTGTTACTGTCTCAAAGAGATATCTGCCGTCTTGTGTTTATTGCAGCATTATTTACCATAACCATGACATGGTATGATGGCTGAATGAATAAATGAAATGAAAATGCAGGGTGTGTGTGTGTGTGTGTACACACAATGGAATATTATTCAGCCATTAAAATACAAAGAAACCCTACCATCTGCAACACTATAAATAGAGGGTATAAGTAAATAAGTCAGAGAGAAAAAGATGGACATTTTGTGATCTCACTTACACATGGTATCTTAAAAAACTGAACTCATAGAAATAGAAAATTGGTAGTTTCGAGAGGTTTGGGGGTGGGGAGGGCAGTAGGTGAAGGTGATCAAAGGATACAAATTTCCAGTTGGAAGGTGAATAAGTCCTAGAGATGTAATGTACAGCACAATGACTGTTATTAACAATATTGTTAATACTGTATAGTATTTTTGAAAGTTAATAATGGTATAAATCTTAACAAAAGTTCTTACCTCAAAATTATAACTATGAGAAATGTAAATTCATTAACTATCCTTATTTTGGTAATCACTTTGCAGTATATAGATATGTCAAATCATTATGTTGTACACCTTAAACTTGTACAATGATGTGTGTCAAATATTAATATATCTCAATAAACCTGAATGGGGGAAACCAATAATATCTGTTAGTTGAAAATAGTAAAATATTTATTAATTTTTAAAATATTTTAGAATCATTCCATTTTTCTTCCTTTCTCCCTTTCCTTTCATGTTTTCAAGGAGGAAAGGTTCATGTAAGTAACCTGGATACTGTGTTAGAAGCCATGGAGGTCAATCTTACAGAAGAGGAACTTGATCACCTGAAGGATCTTCTGAGTGGTGAGCATTGTGGAAAACGTGTGATTTTAAATAGAGATTGAGCTTGAGGATTAATTATGACTGTTTCAAAGGTTTGAATTATTTGCTACCCAAAAAACAAAAAACAAACCTTTGAATAGCTTTCAGGAGAACAACAACATGAAGCCATCTTCATGTTTTTAATCCAGTTAAAACATGTAATCTATTTCTTTACACATTTTGGGCTGGGAATGGGTGCTAGTAAAAGAGAGAGGGGTTATTCTTCTCTGGTTTTATAAAATAAGATCTGCAATGTGTGTTTTTCACTGATCCTTATATTACTGACATCAATTCAGGCTTTAACACAACTTTTCCAGCCATTGATTCATGCATTCTTTTTGGTCACTGTAGCAAAAAAATTATAAAATAATATGTATAGTGTTATTAATTTTCTAAAAAGATATGTAGTATTCTTTTGTAAACTAAGGAAAAGTCTGGAAGAATATACAGAAAGCAATTATTAATGGTGAGGTATGGTAATGACAGTGAGAAGTAAAAAGAGGGACTATTTATATGCTTGTGTATTTTTTTTAATTTGTTTTGAAAGGTATGTTTAGATTTCTTTGACTCAATTTATTCTGTTTTATTTATTCTGTTTTTAATTTGAAATGAATGCAAATGATGTGTTAAGTGATAGGGCTTTGGCTGAGTTCTTATCCACCATTTAGTTTCAGGAGATTCACTAAACTGACCACTTACATAATTCAGTTCAGTTCAGCTGCTCAGTCGTGTTTGACTCTTTGCACCAGGCCTCCCTGTCCATCACCAACTCCCGGAGTTTACCCAAACTCATGTCCATTGAGTCGGTGATGCCATCCAACCATCTCAATCCTCTGTCATCCCCTTCTCCCACTTTCAATCTTTCTTAGCATCAGGGTCTTTTCAAATGAGTCAGCTCTTTGCATCAGGTGGCCCCTAGCAAACATTCCTTACAGATTAGCACTAGTCTCCATCTGCCCACTGCATCAACACGTGGCAACACAAGGTATCAATCCTTACAAATATTAGAAAAGATGTATAATTTCAAGAAATAAGTGAAAATAAAGCTGAAGGACTGCTTCAATCACACAGAGCCACTAACAAACATGGACTTGGCAGAGTTAGACCATTTCATAATTGAGGAAGAAAATTTTTACATGAATAATAATGATAGGCCATTTGAAATAGAATAATTTGGGTTTCAAAGTATTTAAAGGAAGCCTTAAAAATCATTTTTCCAAAATTTATTTTTTATATGTCTTTTTTCAGAGTTTAAAGTAGCCCATGTTGTTGTTGCTGTTGTTGTTCAGTTGCTAAGTTGTGTCTGACTTTTTGCAACCCCATGAATTGCAGCATGACAGGCTTCCTTGTCCTTCACTATCTCCCTGAGTTTGTTGAAATTCAGGTCCATTGAGTCAATGATGCCATCCAACTATCTCATCATCTGTCATCCCCTTCTCCCCTTGCCCTCAATCTTTCCCAGCATCAGTTCTTTTCCAGTGAGTCAACTCTTCACATCAGGTGGCCAAAGTGTTGGAGCTTCAGCTTTAGCATCAGTCCTTCCAAAGAATATTATTCAGGGTTGATTTCCTTTAGGATTGACTAGTTTCATCTCCTTGCTGTCCAAGAGGGACTCTCAAGAGTCTTCTCCAGCACCACAGTTTGAAAGCATGAATTCCACGGTGCTCAGCCTTCTTTTATGGTCCAGCTGTCACATCCGTACATGGCTACTAGAAACACCATAGCTTTAACTATGTGGAACTTTGTTGGCAAAGTGATGTCTCTGCTTTTTAATACACTGTCTAGGTTTGTCATAACTTTTCTTCCAAGGAGCAAGTGTCTTGATTTCATGGCTGCAGTCACTATCTGCAGTGATTTTGAAGCCCAAGAAAGTAAAGGAAGCCATAGTGTGCAATAATCTCATTTTCTCAGAAAATCACATCCCAACACATTTTTAAAAGTCAGCATTGATTCTATGGACTAGTTATAACCTGAATTTTCTTGAATATTAGGTAAAATAAACTTATATTCATAATTCAAATTTTTATTTTTCAGTAATACCTTTTGTAGTTTATTTTTATTCATTGTTTACTGTTAAATCTTCATTTTAAGTGTATATATTTTCCTTGGTCATCTTATAGTAATAATAACTCTTAGATAAAAATACTTCCTATTCTATAGATTTTTTCCTGAGTCCTTATTATTGTTTTCCCCTGGTTAAACTATTTTACAGCCTATAAGAAGGTTGATCTGAAAAAAGTGATGAATAGAATAGAAGATGTTACAGGTGAGGAAGAAGTTACCAAATACATATGATTCTGATTCTTTATACAATTTTGTATTTTTTCCTGTTACTTTCTATTTCTTTTTAAATTATGCTATTTTCTAGTAAAATGATTCTTAGACTTTAACTTTGGTTTATCAATGTTTTAACAACAAAACATAGTGCCACATTTTGTTAGGTCCTATGATCTAATTTTTTCCAAATTAATCTAAAATATTTACTAAAAATACACGTTAAAGGAATAAAAATAGTTTCATTACTTTGCTGGTAATCCCCCAAATAGAAAATTATGAAAATCCATTACCATGTACTGTGTTCTTTTGTGTCTACTATTAATAAAATTAAAGAAATAAACACTTCAATTTTCTGCCATAACTGTAGCCAAACAGGACTCACTCAACTTAATAAAGTCATTGATAGGTTAGGGCTAATAATTAAACAATCATAGATTTCATTATTATATAGAATAATTAAATAGTTCTTTAAAATCTCACATGTTACCATTTCTTTTTTTGTTTGTTTTTGGAAGGAGAGGAAGTTGATGTCAATGACATGGAAACAGTTCTAGGAAATATGGGAATAGAACTCACAGATAAAGAACTGTCAGGACTGGTGAATAATCTGCCAGTTGATAGTGAGTATTTCTAATAAACTGTAGTCATCTAGGGAATATTATTGTTAAACTGTGAAAATTTCTGAAATTACCTCTGCCTCACTGCCTGTCAAAAATAATGTTTGAATCTGTGTTATGTAATTTTAAATGGTGCTATTAGATCTTAAAATATTATCTGTGCCATTAAGTTTTAGTTTGAGAATCAACAATTGCATCATAATGACTCCTATTATCAGGATTCAATTATATTTTTTATTACTTTTGATTCTACCAACAAATCCAAAATTTAAGTGAGAATGAATAAGAAAAAGAAAAAGAAGGGAATGATCTAATAGGGGAAAGTGAAAATGTCACAAAAGAATAGGAAAAGATGTGTTTCACCATAGTAGAGTACCAGCATCTTCACTTTATGTAATCTCATTATTTGTCAGTAAATCAGAAAATGTCTAAGTCAATTCACAAAATATGTCTTACTGAATTACTGGTTTCATACTGTCTAGGAAACTCTGCATTGTTCTTCTGTGATCTGAATAGTCCTTTCTCTTACAGAGGGAAAGGTCTATCGAAATAGGTTGCTGAATGGTATAAAGTTTCTTAAAGGTGAGTGAGAAACCATTTTATTAAATGCACATCAATCTGAGATCATCATGTTTGGCATTTATACTGTTTCCTTGTGATTAAACGGTAAACCCTGCCACTCAACACTGTATCATTTATTTTATAGATCAACCTGTTCTTTAGGAGATCATTTCTTATGGTGTAACCTGGAAAGAATATCCATGCTCTCTTGAAATTCTTCAAATTTTGACATAGGAAGAAATTATCAGAGCCCAAGTTGACAAAAGTAAAGGGAAAATTAGGACATCCTCAGTTAAATCAGCAGCAGAGACTAGTAATCTGACATTCAGACAAAACAAAAGAACACCAAAAACCTAAAAAGTCTCTGAGGAAGTGAAGGGACCATAAAACTGAAAGAGATGGACAGGAAGCAGGCCATGATGGAGGTCAGATCTAAGCAAGATTCCCACTCTTCCATCATTACATACCTCCTTCATGATATCTGTCAAATCCATAAACATTCCTACTACTATTAACATTTTTTATTTTAAATAATTTACTTTTTACCTGTTTTTTAAAAAATTTTTAATTGTAATGGAAAATCAGCATCCCTTAACATAACTAGAAGTTGACTCTTAAACACAGTGAAAACAAGACAATATTAGTAATATTGGAATTATTGTCACCTTGCTAAAATTTTCTGAGAAGTTATTCAATCACCTTTAAATATTTATACTGGATATGCTTCTCATGAAGATTAAGATTAAAACAATGAACTCTAATCCTAACTCCATTATTGTACTTTGTACTCCATTCTTTGTCCTCTTGTAAAGCTCTCATTAGGCTTTGGTCTTTTGGATGAAAATGATAATCATAATATTACCTCAGGAATTGTTCATTGCTCAAAATTCACATTTTAGAGACATTAACTTTTTCTTATATATCTCTTTTTATAAGGAGGGAAGATTGACTCTAGTAAAGTATACACTGTTTTGGAAAACATGGGCATGAACCTCACTGAAAAGGAACTCAAAGATCTAACACAAAATCTACCAGTTGATGGTGAGCATTTTAGATATCACTGAACCCTATGTAAAAAATAGTCTTATGTATCTATTTCTAACAGTCATTTAAAATGCTTGTTTGACATCAAGAAGTATTATGAAAAGCTTAGAAGAAAAATTCAGATTGAAAGAAAGGACACATGCTGACTCTTGCTAGTGTCATGTGCAAATTAGAGAAAGATTTCAAGGTATCTCTCTCTGCTCTTTTTACTCAGCCTTTCCTGAATGGATAGGTTTCACTTAAATCACAGTCCACCTCTTTAGCCACATTTGCTAATACATGGCATCAGTATTTATTGAAAGGATACTTAATATCAGTATGGCTAGCTTTTATTTTATCTAGTTCAGCTAGAGTAGACCTGTTCTCCAATGACAGCCATCACCATGCCTAGTTACAAAATGTTTTTCTTTGATAAGATCTTTTAAGATTTATTCTCTTAGCAACTTTCAAATATGCAATACAGTATTGCTAACTATAATCACCATACTGTACATCACATCATCATAGCTTATTTATTTTATAACTAGAAATTTGTATTTATTTGTAACTAGAAATTCACTCCAGGAGATAGAGGACAGGGAAGTCCAGCATGCTATAGTCCATGGAGTTACAGAGAGTCAGACATGACTCAGCATCTGAAAAACAACAAAGAAATTTGTACTTTCAAAAAGCTAGCTTTTCTGCAGCAAATGCATGCATGCATGCTAAGTCACTTCAGTTGTGTCCGACTCTGCAACCCTTTGGACTGTAACCTGCCAGGCTCCGCTGTCCATGGGATTCTCCAAGCAAGAATACTGGAGTGGGTTACCATGCCCTCCTCCAGGGGATCTTCCTAACCCAGGGATTGAACCCAGGCCTCTTAAGTCTCCTGCATTGCAGGCAGATTCCTTACCACTAGTGCCACCTGGGAAGCCCTCTACAGCAAATAAATGCTGCTAAATTCGTCTGCTGTATACAACATCGTTTTCTTACATTCCTTGCTGTATTTCTGTCTAATTTATTCCTTTTCTTACAGTTAATGGTAAAGTTGATCTGGAAAAGGTGATGAATGAAGTGAAACCTTTTTCAGGTGAGTAAGACATTAGTAAAACATGTTAAATGGAATTCACCCTGTATTATATTTTGCATAGTGTTTTCTCAATATTACAAAATAAACTTATTAATGTTGATACTTTATATATTTATTATGAAATATGTACACCTTAACTTTTCTTCTTCTTTGACTTCAGATTATCTAGGATTCAGCCATGAAAATAAGTGGTGATGTTTGAATAAAAAATTATATTTTCTGTTATTTCCAGCAACATTATCCTGGTTTTAACCAGTGTTTAGATCAGTGGTCACAAATTAGACACCCATGAGTTTAATTCAATCTGTAGTCAATTTTATAAGATCTGAATTCCCTCACAATAGCTGGCATGTTTTCTTTTTGGACAAGGCATGTGCTGTCTACTTCACTATAGCCAGTTTCATTCATTTTTTCTATCTCCAGGCTCCTGCAAGCTTTTGAGTTAATAACTGCTAGTTTACATAGCCAAAATCTAGATAGTCACAGAATATAGGAAGGTGGATATTTTTAGAAAATTTAATTGATAAGATTGCCATAATAATCTCATGATTCAACATTAAAAACAAAAAAGACTAGATACTTTAAATTACTGACCTATTTCATAATGTAATTTTCTTCTATGATGTCTTGTCATTAGGCTTAAGAGGCTACTCTCTTTATGAAGAATTAAGGAATAAATTCTGATTCACTATCTGTAAACACTGTTCAAATATGTGCAAATATGGAAGTGAGGATAACATTAAATGACCCAAGTTTTAAAATTTTTAGATAACTATGGTGTCCTAAAATTACCATCTGTTAACAATCCTTTTTTTCTTTCAAAGGAGACAAAGTTGATACTAGTAAACTTGAAAATGTTTTGGGAAACTTGGGGATTAAGCTCACATCTAATGAACGCTTGAATTTGCTGGAGACAGTGCCAGTTAATGGTAAGATTCGTGGGTGCTATCTGGGTTTTTTAGGAAGTCTGATTTTGTGGAACTATTTGAAAAATTCCAAAATAGAGTGAAAATGCTTGAAAACTGTTAAAAAGTTAATGCTAGTACAAAGAAAAGATTCATTGCTTAGATTTGTATTTTAAAATCATCAATCTAACCCTCTCAGTTATAAATTATAAGTTTTGCCTTTGCCATCCAAGTCAAAGTTCACCCTGAGCCCTCAGGTCGTTAATCAGCTGGATTTGAAAATAGATTTTTTTTTTTTTTTAAAGAAGAAGGGTACTTTCCAGGTGGCTCAGTTGGTAAAGAATCTGCCTGCTAAGGCAGAAGACACAAGAGTGGGGGTTCGATCCCTGTGGGTCAGGAAGATCCCCCAGAGGAACAAATGGCAACCCATGAAAAATTCCATGGACAGAGGAGCTTGGTGGTAGTCCGATATGACTGAGCGCACACATACCACCACCACCAAAAAGAAGAAGAAAGAAGGAACAAGGGAAATAGGAGTAAAGAGAAGATAAAACAACAACAACAACGAAAAATAGCTATGCGTATTTCTGCAGCATAAAATATATATTTTACCAATAAGTGGATAATTTTGTATATTCAGGAAAAACTGCAGTTCTTAACTATCTAATTAAATGAAATTTTAAAATTTAGGAAAATAAAAAATGTTTTTAATTTCATAACACAAAGATAACCACTATTAATATCTTGAGACCTTTCCTTCTAGTGCTTTTAAGATAGATAGCTAGATACATACATTCATACATAATATTGTGAGTGTATAAATTTATTTATAACTCTTATTTTTTCACAATTTAATATGTCATTATAGAAACCTTGATAATGCGGGTAAGCAAAAACAAAACCATCTCTCTTCCTACCTCAAAGCAGTAAATAATGTAAAAAAATCTGAGGTTTATTTTTCCAGTTCTCTGTCTATAAATAGACATCCTTTTTATTTTTGGCAACCCTGTAGATAAATTTTGGCAAACATCCTAAAATTTAGTGAGATTGTATTCCTTTAAATAGAGTTGCAAAATATTTTGTTTTGCCACATTTCCTTCCAGAATATTGTAATTTGAACTCTCACAAATAGTATTTGAGAATGTTATTTTCCTTACATTGTCAATACAGTAAAAAAAGAACATCTCATTATTATGATTAGCTTTATATTCCTTTACCACTGTGAGTGAACATTCTGGTATATCTGTTATCTATTTGCATTTGAAATGTTCTTCAGGCAAAATTTTCTAAATTCTTTCTTTCTGAAATTAAGAGATGTGTACTATCTTTCTGATTCCTAAATTCTTTTCTAAAATTAATTTCTAAAGTATCTTTTTTTTTATAGCTGATGGAAAAGTTTATCAGAAAAGGTTGATGAAGGGCATAAAATCTCTCAAACGTGAGTAAGAAGCATGCTAAAAAGACTTAATCTGAAACCTTTATTTGCATTGTCAAAATAGAAATCCTCCTTTCCTACATAATCAAGTCTTTATTTATACTTCTTTCAGTAGATCTGCATTTTGCCAGGTATTTACCGAGTACTTTTCTGTACTAAGATTTGGCAGGAAACTTAAATTTTCCTAATTCAGCCCCAGAGAAATAAAATTCATTTTAAAATGCAAACAAAAGGTGAAGAATGAAGGCTGTCAGATTAAGATTTAGGTCTAAAGCAGAAACAATTTGAAATTATAGACAACAAAAATAACGACTATTTTGCAGAATATTATGTCAGTCACCTCTAGCTCTAGCTTTTCAATATTCCCAACACAAAATTGGAGGTAATTAATTCAAATTTTTATTGTATTAGCTGGACAAGACTGACATTTTGGTGTTTGTCTTAAAAATGTTAACAATAATACTAAGAAATGAATGAAGTATTTTTATTGTAATAAAATACATGCTCAGTAAAGAAGAATATTAATATAGAGTGAATGTGTTTTAGAATCATGCAATTTTACTATATTTCTTTCCTATCCTCTATTTAGGAGGCAATATTGATGTCAATAAGCTGGACACATTTTTAGAAAGCATGGGAATCAAGATCACAGAAGAAGAATTCATGGATTTGATAGAAAAATTACCGTATGATGGTGAGCACTGTAACCACTCTTATACTTTTTCAGGCCTATTGAGTCTTTTTTTTTCTGTCCATCTTTCAGTCAGTTCAGTTCAGTTCAGTCGCTTAGTCGTGTCCGACTCTGCGACCCCATGAATCGCAGCACAACAGGCCTCCCTGTCCATCACCAACTCCCGGAGTTCACTCAAACTCATGCCCATTGAGTCGGTGATGCCATCTAGCCATCTCATCCTCTGTTGTCCCCTTCTCCTCCTCCCAATCCCTCCCAGCATCAGAGTCTTTTCCAATGAGTCAACTCTTCGCATGAGGTGGCCAAAGTACTGGAGTTTCAGCTTCAGCATCAGTCCTTCCAAATTGACGCATAACATTGTGTAAGTTTAAGGTACACAATCTGTTGATTTGATAGACATATATTGCAAAATGACTATCACCATAGTGTTAGCTAACACCTCCAACACATCACATTATTATAATTCTTTTCTAACATTTAAGATCTAGTCTCCAAGAAGATTTCAAGTATACAATTAGTATTATTAACTATAGTCTTTACCATATAAAATGTAGCATTCTGTACATTAGATGCTCAGAATTTGTTCACCTTATAACTGGAAGTTTGTACCCTTTGAGCAACATCTCCCCGTTTCTCTAACCCCCAGCCCCGGTAACTCTCATTCTGTTCTCTGTTTCTGTGGGCTCAGCTTTTATATGTATGTATACATATATATATGTTTTTGTGGGTGGTATCATATCATATTAGTCTCTCTCGATCTGATTTGTTTCAGTTAGCATAATGCTAACTGAGTCTTTTCCAATGTGTCAGTTCTTCGCATCAGGTGGCAAAGTATTGGAGCTTCAGCTTCAGCATCAGTCCTTCCAATGAATATTCAGGACTGATTTCCTTTAGGATTGACTGGTTTGATCTCTTTGCAGTCCAAGGATCATATTTTTTCTTCAGGAACTTCCATGCTGTTTTCCACAATGGCTGTACCAGTTTACAGTGAACAGAGGTTCCCTCTTCTCCACATCCTCCCCAGCATTTATCTCTTGTCTTTTGTTAGAATGATAATAGTCATTCTTACAGTTGTGAAGTGTTAGCTCATCGTTATTTTTGTTACCTATAATTTCAAATTGTTTCTGCTTTAGACCTAAATCTTAATCTAACAGCCTTCACTCTTCACCTTTTGCTTTTTATTTTAAAATGAATTTTATTTCCAAGAAAGTTTTCTGCCAAATCTTAGTACAGAAAATTACTTGGTAAATACCTGGCAAAATGCAGATCTACTGAAGGAAGCATAAATAAAGACTCAGTCCCAACAAACTCAACTCAGCTATCCCAACTCAATCCCAGCTCAACCAAACTTGCTCATTTTGGTTTTGTATATCTCGGATAATTAGTGACATTGAACTTCTTTTCATGTACATGATGGCCATTGTATGTCTTCTTTGATATACAAAGATGACTGTTCAGTTCCTCTGCCCATTTTTAATTGAATCATTTTTATATCGAATATACATTTTGAATGTTATATATTTCATATTAATTCCTTATTAGATATATGGTTTGCAAATATTTTCTCCCATTCCATAGCTTGCCTTTTTATTTTACTTATTGTTTCTTTTGCTGTGCAGAAGCCTTTTGGTTTGATGTCATCTCACTGGTTTATTTTTGTTTTTGTTGCTTATGCTTTTGGGTCATATCCAAAAAAATCATTGCCAATATTTGCATCAAGGAGATTTTCCCCTATTTTTTTTTCAGGAGTTTTAGAGGTTCAGGTGTTACATTTAACTGTATAATCCATTTTGACCCTGTTTTTGTGAGTGGTGTAGAATAAGTAGTCCAGTTTCATTATTTTGCATGTGGTTATCCAGTTTTCTGAGCTCTTTTTATTAAAGAGACTGTCATTTTCCTATTGAGATTTCTTGGATGCCTTGTTGGCAGTTAACTGTTTATCTTATACCTGTACTTATTCTATGCATTTCAGTCTAGAACAGTCTTTTTATCTAGTATGACAAAGTCAAGTGATTGGTAAGATAATCTAAAAATCCAGCTAAAATAAAGAATCATAAAAATGATATTTACATACTTTAAACATTTTATTTGACTGAAAAAAATTGGGCCAATGTCATTTTTATTTAATGTAGTTATGCTTTGAGGGGATTTTCTTGCACAAACATACCCATTTATCATCTACTCTCCCATTTTTAGTTTCTCTTAAGTGGAGCAAAGTGATTTTTTTTTTAAGTTGAGCAGAAATCTCAGAGTCCATCTAGATTTAATTCTTGCTTCAATCTTTCTACGGTTACCTTATCCACACCAAATTCAACAGAACTATTTTTTAGTAAACTTGCCCTCACATAAACTTTCCAAATTATTCAAATTTGTTTTAATGATAACTCCTTTTTCTATTTATAGTTCATCAGTTTATATAGTGATTAAGTTATCACCAATTTAATAAGTATAACTATTTATAAACAAGTCTAGAAATAAACTAAAAAACTAAACCCATAAGAACACAGATGCACTGGCTTACTAAAGCATAACCTACTAGATATGAAAGTTATGGCATTCCATCAGCATCAGTCTAAATATTTTGCAGTAAGAATGAAGAATGAAGTTCAGACTGTCAGACTGTTTAAATGCAGATCAATTAAGAGATCTTCTCTTGTATCAATAAATCTCTATTGAGACATAGATTGTCCACTGGCAATCTCAACTCTACATATAAAAAGCAACTATTCTCCATATTAAATTCATTTCTAATTCTTGTCGGGGGGGCGGTGTGTGTGTTTGCCTGTGTTTTGTGTATGTATGTGTGTATATTTTTGTCGAAGCTATGGTTTTTCCAGTAGTCACGTACAGATGTGAGTTGGGCCATAAAGAAGGCTGAGCACTGAAAAATTGATGCTTTTGAACTGTGGTGTTGGAGGAGACTCTTGAGAGTCCCTCGGGCGGGAAGGAGATCAAACCAGTCAATCCTAAAGGAAATCAGTCCTGAATATTCATTGGAAGGACTGATGCTGAAGCTGAAGTGCCAAACTTTGGCCACCTGATGTGAAGAACTGACTCATATGAAAAAACCCTCATGCTGGGAAAGATAGAAGGTGGGAGGAGAAGGGGACGACAGAGGAAGAGATGGTTGGATGGCATCACTGACTCAATGGACATGAGTTTGAGCAAGCTCCAGGAGATGCTGAAGGACAGGGAAGCCTGGCGTGCTGCAGTTCATGGGGTCACAAAGAGTCAGACATGACTGAGTGACTGAACAGCAAAATTTATCCCTATAATCCACCACAATTACTCGTGAAATAATCCATAAATTATCTTTGACTTATGCTCCCTCCTCTTTTCCCTTAAAACAAAATCTCAATTTTATCTCTGCTACTTAATTCAAAACTCATCATCCTGGCCAAGACTACTACAGAAGCCTCATCTGTCAGCCATATTATTGCCTTAAGTTCATTCTGATCACACTAGCCATGATGAGTTAATAGCTAAGGTGAAAATCTGACCTCAGATTAAAAATCAATGACCCCCTCATAGCTTATATGCATTGTTTTCCAATATGCCAGACAGTGCTAAGCATTTTTATGAATTTTCTCATTCAATTTATTCACTCATGTATCATATCTATTGAACACCTAACACCCAGCATTGTCTGCTTCAGCCTTAGAGATACAGTCATTGTTGTTGTTGTTCAGTCATGAAGTCATGTCCTGCTCCTTACAGCCCCATGGACTGTAGCATGCGAGGCTTCCTTGTCCTACACTGTCTCCTGGAATTTACTCAAATTCATGTCCATCGATTTGGTCATGCCATCCAACCATCTAATCTTCTGTCACCCTCTTCTCCTTTTGCCTTCAATCTTTGGGCTTCCCTTGTGGCTCAGCTGGTAAAGAATCTGCCTGCAATGTGGGAGACCTGGGTTTGATCCATGGCTTGGGAAGATCCCCTGAAGAAGGGAAAGGCTACCCACTTCAGTATTTTGGCCTGGTGAATTCCATAGACTATACAGACAGTCCACAGGGTTGCAAAGAGTCGGACATGACTGAAAGACTTTCACTTTCACTTTTCCTAGTATCGGGGTCTTTTCCAATGGGTTGACTCTTCACATCAGGTAGCCAAAGTTTTGGAGCTTCAGCTTCAGCATCATTCCTTCCAATGAATATACAGGGTTGACTTCCTTTAGGATTTACTAGTTTTATCTCCTCGCAGTCCAAGGGTCTTTCAAGAGTCTTCTCCAGCACCACAATTTGAAAGCATCAATTCTTTGGCACTCAGCCTTCTTTATGGTCCAACTCTCACATCTGTACATGACTACTGGAAAAACCATAACTTTGACTATACAGACTTCTGTCGGCAAAGTGATGTCTCTGCTTTTTAATATGCTGTCTAGGTTTGTCATAGCTTTCCTTCCAAGGAGCAAGCGTCTTTTAATTTAATGGCTGCAGTCTCTGTCCACAGTAATTTTGGAGCCCAAGAAAATAAAATCTGCCATTGCTTCCATGTTTTCCCCTTATATTTGTCATAAAGTCTTGGAACCAGGGGCTTCCCAGGTGGGTAAATAATCCCTCTGTAATCCAAGAGATGCAGGCAGACACAGGTTCAGTCCCCAATTTGGGAAGATCCCCTGGAGGAGGGCATTTCAACTTACTCTGGTATTCTTGCCTGGAGAATCCCATGGATAGAGAAGCCTGGTGGACTACAATTCACAGGGCAGCAAAGAGTCAGACATGACTGAAGTGACTAAGCAGGCACTCACACATGATGGGACCAGACACCATGATCTTAGTTTTTATAAATGTTGAGGTTTAAGCCAGATTTTTCACTCTTTTCCACCCTCATCAAGAGGCTCTTAGTTCCTCTTTACTTTCTGCCATTTAGAGTGGTATCGTCTGCATATCTGAGGTTGCTGACATTTTTTCCAGCAATCTTGATTCCAGCTTGTGATTCATCCAGCCCTGCATTTCACATGACGTACTCTTCATATACGTTAAATAAACAGGTTGACAATATACAGCCTTGTCATACTCCTTTTCCAATTTTGGACCAGTCATTTGTTCCCCTACATGGATCACAACTTTGTCGTGGTAAAAGGGCTTGTATAACTCAATGAAGCTATGATCCGTGCTGTGCAGGGCCATGCAAGAGGAATGGGTCATAATGAAATGTTCTGACAAAACATGATTTACTGGAGAAGGGATTGGCAAACCCGCTCTAGTATTCTTGCCATGAGAACCACATGAACGGTATGAAATGGTAAAAAGATATGATACCAGAGGGATCCCCCAATGGCTCAGATGGTAAAGAATCTGCCTGAAATTCAAGAGACCTGGGTTCGATTCCTGGGTCAGGAAGATTCACTGGAGAAGGGAATGGCAACCCACTCCTGTATTCTTGCCCAGAGAATCCCATAGACAGAGGAGGCTGGTGAGGTACAGTCCGTGGGGTTGCACAGAGTCAGACATGAGTGAGTGAATAACACACACACACACACACACACACACGATACTGGAAGATGAGCCCCCCAGGTTGGAAGGTGTCCAATATGCTACTAGGGAAGAAAGACAATTACTGATAGCTCCAGGAAGAATGAAGTGGCTGGGCCAAAACGGAAAAAGCGCTTAATTGTGGATGTGTTTGGTGGTGAAAGTAAAGTCTGATGCTGTAAAGAACGATATTGCATAGGGACCTGAAATGTTAGGTCCATGAATCAAGGTACATTGGACATGGTCAAGCAGGAGATGGCAAGAGTGAACATCAACATCTTAGGAATCAGTGAACTAAAATGGACAGGAATGGGCAAGTTTACTTCAGATGACCATTATATCTACTACTGCAGGCAAGAATCCCTTAGAAGAAATGGAGTAGCCCTCATAGTCAACAAGAGTCCAAAATGCAGTACTTGGGTGCAGCCTCAAAAATGAAAGAATGATCTCAGTTCATTTCCAAGGCAAACCTTTCAACATCACAGTAATCAAAGTCTATGCCCCAACCACTAATGCTGAAGAAGCTGAAGTTGACCGGTTTTATGAACACCTATAAGACCTTCCAGAACTAACAGCAAAAAAAAGATGTCCTTTCATCATAGGGAATTGGAATGCAAAAGAGATACAGTCATAAACAAAACAAATTAACATAAAATTTGTGGAGCCAGAATTTTCATCTTTTTTTCACTGCTGTTTTCCCAGATCCAGACAGTCTGATGTCAACATCTAAACTGTTAACTCCAACCAGCCTTTTTTGCCTCATCTTTCCATTCTTTACATGGCATTTTTCCCTTAGGCAAAATTTAAAAGCTTTAGTTCACCACACAATTTGCTCTTCATTGCTCCTTTTCCTGGCATTCTTTGTTTTTTCCCAACTATATAAAGTGACATAATACCATAAAAAATAGCCTTAAATGTATACCAGTCATATATTATCAGCCATTGCTAGGGAAATATGGAGTTAGAAACATGAGTCCAAGAGACTTAGAAAAAATTTTGCCTAACATAGACTTTATGATGTAAGCAATCTTAATCCCTGTTGTAGATAATGGAGCTATCCTTTAAAGTCCAGGAATCATAAATTTTAAAAAGACAGAATATAGTCAATAGCCTTCATCCAGGCTTGACTTCTTAATTTAAGAACTTTGTAGTTTTTGCTTTTTTTCTGAGTTTGGGCTTATCAATGTCTAAATTTTACTGTGTCTTATAGATGAAGAGAAGATCAAAGTAGATACAGTGATGAAAGAACTGAGTACTGTTTTAGGTAAGTAAAATATTTCTTAATTCTTAACTGTGTTTTAATGATATTTCTCCCATCCCTTCATTCCGTTAATTTGCTATTCTAACCTTTCATTAACTAAACATTCTCATTTATCTGCTATGATTACCCATGCTTTTGCAACAGAGGTACTAGGAAGGAAGGTATTCCTAGACAAGAATTCCAAGACAAGAATTTCAAAATTTGGGCAATAACTGGAATAATACTATATATAGACATAATTATTTGAATCGGTCATCAACATCACAATTTTCTAGACAATTATATTAGCCTCATATCATTATATGTAGAATTTTTCCCAACATTATGAGAATGTGTCTTTTACTATAGAGACAATGTTATATTTCTAAATCTGGTATTTACTCTTCATAATTCAATAACTGTCCTTAGGGTCTTGTTTTTCTAGCAATAAAGTATGCTGCTATACAAACAAGTGTTTTGTTTATCTTTTGTAATTTGGATTCATTTGATAATGTTCCATAGCTTGGCAACAGCCTTTTCTTAATAGTGTGGAAATTATTTGTAGTCCTACTTCCACAATTTGGTCCTCTATCAACCAAGACTACAAGAAAGACAATTAGGAACTGTCCAGATTTTCTCCTATTCTCTGAATAGAACATGCACTGTATTTTATACTAGGTCAGCCAAGGTGAGACTCAGTTTTCTTTTTTTTTATTCCCATGAGTGAAATGCATTATTCTTGGGAATCTGTTCCACCAGGTATTAGCTATTTCCTTAGGAAAGATTCTATCCCTTTGGACTCTTTATAAAGAGACAAGATCTACTGAGACTGTTGAAAAGACATACACTTAGAATTATCTCTATAAAAGCTGGCTTAAAACTCAGCATTCAAAACACTAATATCACAGCATCAAGTACCATCAATTCATGGCAATTAGGTGGAGAAAAAGTGGAAGCAGTGGGAGATTTTATTTTCTTGGGCTCCAAAACCACTACAGATGGTAACTGCAGTAATGAAATTAGAGATGCATGCTCACTGGTAGAAAAGCTATGACTAAGCTAGATAGCATATTAAAAAGCAGAGACATCACTTGGTCAGCAAAGGTCTGCACAGTCAAAGCTATGGTTTTTCTAGTAGTCGTGTATGGATGTGAGAGTTGGGCCATAAAGAAGGCTGAGTGCCAAAGAACTGATGCGTTCAAACTGTGGTGCTGGAGAAGACTCTTGAGAGTTCCTTGGTCAGTAGAGATCAAACCAGTCAATCCTAAAGGAAGTCAACCCTGAATATTCATTGGAAGGACTGATGCTGAAGCTGAAGCTCGAGTACTTTGGAAACCTGATGCAAAGAGCCAACTCATTGGAAAAGGCCCTGATACTGAGAAAGACTGAGGGAGGAGAAGGGGGTGACAGAGGATGAGATGGCTGAATGGCATCACTGACTCAATGGACATGAGTTTGAGCAAACTCTGGGAAACAGTGAAGGACAGGGAAGCCTGACGTGCTGTAGTCCACTGGGGTTGCAAGGAGTAGGACATGACTTAGCAACTGAACAACAACAAGAACATAATCAGAATTCTTTAAGTTGGCTTGACAGTAAAAAGCTGAATTATAAAGTTAGGATTGTCCTAACTCTAGTAAAGTGATTGTCTCTAATAAAATTAAACTTCAATAAGTTTTTATTAGTAGTAAGGGAGATTATGATTGGCTAAGTCAGAAATGTATGAAATTAAACAAGTAAAAAGAAAAACATGACAAAATAAGGATAAAAATGTATGAAAAGTATACAGTGCACTGACAGTCAGTGTTTTCTTATTCTAATGGTCTTGTGTGGAAGCTTTTGATGTTATGTAATTTTTGTTTCTGTGGAGCTTGGATTTTGGGTCAGCAAGTGACTTACAGGAAAAAGTGAAAATGCAAGTGTTAGTCACTCAGACATTTCCAACTCTTTCCAACTCCATGGACTGTAGCCCTCCAGGCTCCTCTATCCATGGAATTCTCCAGGCAAGAATGCTAGAGTGGGTTGCCATTCCCTTCTCCTGGGAATCTTCCCGACCCAGCAATTAAACCTGAGTCTCCAACATTTCAGGCAGATTCTTTACTATCTGAACTACCAAGGAAGCAACAACCTGCTTATTGAAGCTCTCAGTGGTCTTTAATGATGTAACTTTACAGTTCCGATGTCTCTTCTATTTTACCAGAGGTTTTGGTATTCAAAAGATGATAAAGTTTCTAAATATTATGCAGAATCTTATATAATCTGAATGATTACCAAAATAAAATGAATTCTCTAAAATTGAATAGATAAGTTGGAATGCCCTCAGTAGGTATAGTAGGATAGTGTATCTACAAGTTTGTAAGCCAGTCTGAGTGTTTTGAATTTTTGACACAAGAATGTTAAAAATCCACCCAGGAGGCTTCCCTGGTGGTTCAATTGTTAAGAAAATCACTTTCTAATGCAAGGAACATGAATTCGATCCCTGGTCCCTGGTTGGGGAACCAAGATCCTCCATGCCATGGGGCGCCTAAGCGCATGTGTCGCAATTACTGAGCTCGTGAACTCTAGAGCCCACACACCCACAATGAAAGATCCCCCATGGTGCAACTAAGACCTGAGGCAGCCATAAATAAATAAATAGTTTTTAAAAATCCACCCAGAAAATAAACATACTATTAGTACATGTTCATAACTCAGAAGCAACTGTATAAAACCCTTTTGGATATGTTCAAAAGGTCCCTTAAGGTGTGGTTCTAATCAAAATCTCACAGTTATAGATTTTCTAGAATTATTCTAGTTTCAGAGGAGGTTTGAATTGGCCATGTACTCTGATATCATGCACAGATGTCCTAATCAGTGTTTAATAATGTAGCGAACTTATTTCTGTAGCAGTCTGTTGTTTTATGTAGTGTTTTAGCAAGTATCCATTTGAAATTTTATCTGGTGCAACTAAGGAGCAATCCTGACTTTGCCAGATATTATCCTCATTTTGTAACCTGATCATTCCAATAGCTTCCTTACAAAATTAGGTAAAATTTTGTGCTTAAATGGAATCTTTGAATCTGATCCTACACTTGTTTTTCTGATCTATAAGAGGTCCTTCTAAAAGGACTTTGGGTGCTTTTTTCTCCTCAGTAGTTATGTGAATCCTTAAAGTGGATAATGAAGGAAAAAATGAATCCACTTCTGTTCCTCATATATGCATAGTTGGACCTCCGGGCATGAGAGAAGGGTCATCACTACGAAAGCTGCGTCCAGTCACCCTGCCCTCCCTCCTCCATGGAATGGGCTCCGTTGCTCCCTGGCCGGACCCTATGGAGGCTTCTGTTTGACCCAGTTGTGTGGAAATGATGGTAGGAGTGCTCCAGCTTGTTTCATTAACAGCAAAGAAGAAAATCCAATAATAAATGAAATAGAAATTTTTATCATAAAAATTCAGTAATATATCTTTCCCAACTCTGAAGCTGACATAATCAGAGGAAACTCATTTATCTCTGGAATTACAAAGGAATAGCGTATAAAATAACTACTGTTCATTACAGAGAAATGGGAAGGAGTAGAACAAAAGAAAAGCTGAGAGCTCAGTAGAACACAAACAAGTACATAGCTGCCCGTGTACACTTTTCACAAACATTCTGAGAAGATGCCCATTTCTAGCAGCATGCTGTTCTATGTGCCTGGATGTTGAAAACAACTAATAATGCGGATAGAATCTAATTTTAAAAGAATTCTTGAATGTTTCCGTAAATATGTATCCTTAAGGAATATACATACCAAAAGCCTGGAACCCAAAGAAGAAGAGCCCTGAAGCCACATTTCATTCTCTAAGCATTTGCTGAATTAAGTGAATCTAAGCAGTTTTGACTGTCTGCCAGAACTCAGTAGAAAGGAAGCAAATCCCAGAGCCTGCCCAAAGTAGGAAATATGGTAGTTTTGATCCACGGGTCACTGGAGAAAGAAATGGCCACCCACGCCAGTGTTCTTGCCTGGAGAATTCCATGGACAGAGGAGCCTGGTGGGCTACAGTCCGTAGGGTTGCAAAGAGTCGGTCACTACTGAGCAACCTGTAGTGAGCACACCTGCCCTAAAGCTAAGACTTGAAAAATTATGTATATAGCATAAGAGCGAATTAGAAATATGTCTCTGGACTACAAGGAAGACTGTCTAACTCAATTTATAAACACAAGATGACCTTTACTCAGGCTTACTTATCAAATTTACACTAACTTAGGCTGAGAATTTAAAGTAATCCTAAAAGAAAATTTTAACTGTGGTATTGGAGAAGATTCTTGAGTGTCCCTTGGACTGCAAGGAGATCAAACCAGTCAACCTAAAGGAAATCACTCCTGAATTCATTGGAAAGACTGATGCTGCAGCTGAAACTCCAATACTTTGGCCACCTGATGTGAAGAACTGACTCATTGGGAAAGACCCTGATGCTGGGAAAGATTGAAGGAGGGAGGAGAAGGGGACCACAAAGGTTGGATCACCAACTCAATAGACATGAGTTTGAGCAAGCTCCAGAAGTTGGTGAAGGACAGAAAAGCCTGGCATGCTGCAGTCCATGGGATCACAAAGACTCAGACATGACTGATCAACTGAACTGAACTGAATTCTGAAAGTTCTGAAGGATACTCATCTTCTCAAAACAAAGAATTTCACATACAAAGAAGTTCCTGGTCTAAAATTACTAAACACATTGGCACAATGAGTAACTAAGCATGGCATGATGAGTAACAGCCATCAAAAATAATGTATGATAGAATCAGATTTAGATTTTGGAATTATCAGACAAAAAAATGTTAAATAAACACTCAATATATTTTAAGAATTAAAAAAGAGGCCTTGAATATGTGAATGAAGAGCAGACAGATTTGATAAAGAACCAAAGAGATCTTCAAGAAATAAAAGCAATAGAAAGTTAAAACATTAGATGGATTGAATGGTAACTTTTAAAAAGCTGAAGAAAGAACTAAGGAACTTAAGAAGTTATAAAGTATGTAGCACAGAAAGACCAAAAAATGGAAGATGTGAAAGAATGATTAAGAGACATACAGAATAATAAGAAAATCTAATGTATTTTTAATTGGAATGTCAGGAAGAAGAGAGAGAATGAGACAGAATCAATATTTGAAGAGAACTTTCCAGAAAAGAGAAAGGATGTCAATTTAAAGAAGCCAAGTGAATCCCAAGCAGAATAAATAAAAAGAAATCTGTACTGGACATACATACTTGAAATATGCAACATATCTAATTTATTGACTAAAAGTTTTGGATTCTAGACTTTATAGACAGTAAACTTTCAGAGATTCATTTTCTGCTGATTTAAACCAAAAGACTTAACTAAACAAAAATTGTTTTTCCTTGCAAAGTATAAAAGTAATAATCAAAAAATTACTTACCATACAAACAGTGTAAAACAAAAATTATTATGGAAGCCTGAGGCCCTGTTTTTTTAAAGATACTTTCTAACAAGTATCAACTATACATGTTTTTATATACATTATATTAACTAGTTAATACAAGGCATATAATTTATATGCCTTTCTAGATGAAATTTATGTACCTAAGATTGCATTTCTCTTAGCATAATGCTAATTTCAAAGCTATCAGGAGAAATACTTAAATATCTATTTAGTGAAGAAAAGAACCAATATTTGGCTTTTTTTTTTTTTACCACTTACATAATCAAGGTGGTCATAAATGTTAGTTTTTTGTTTGTTTACAACACATTTTAAGTACCCACAAAATTATAGTGCATGAGTGAAAATGTTACTAGTTAGCAGCTTTTGTTGTAATAACTCACTGATTTTTATCCTTATAAAATTCTTTTTATCACCATTTCTGTCTTTTCTAGGAAAGCAGATAGATGTCAGTGACCTAGATAAAGCTCTGAAAGACATGAAAGTAGAAGTCACAGATAAGGAATACTTGAATTTAGTAAAAACTCTACCAGTTGATGGTAAGGATTTTTAAATTATATATGTATTCTTCAAATGGCTTCAGAGTGCTTGACTGTGTAGTTTTCTTCTAAAATAACTCCGTATTGCTAGCAAGTTGTTATTTTTTCTTTTTGTAATAATTTTGGAAAACTTTTAGTACTTGATTTTTGCCAAAGAAAATCTGGGTCATTTAATTTATATTATGGTAGGCAATAGCTATTTCACTCATTCCTACCAAAAAATTATACGTATTACTGTCTTTGATTCCACTAATATGCCTGATAGCAAGTGAAAGAGTGTGAAAATGGAAGAGTAAAGGGTACAAAGGAAGAAGTCAGAGATAAAAGAAAATCAAATGGGATATACAAGGTTTAGGGCGTCCTTGGTAGCTCAACTGGTAAGGAATCTGCCTGCAATGCAGGAGACCTGGGTTCCATTCCAGGGTTGGGAAGATCCCCTGGAGAAGGGAACATCTACCCACTCCAGTATTCTGGCCTGGAGGATTCCATGGACTGTATAGTCCATGGGGTCCCAGAGAGTTGGACAAGACAGAGAGAGCAACTTTCACTTTTACACAAGGTTTAGCCCAATAATCATTGTTTTTATCCAAGAGCTAATAGATTTGTCTCATTAAAGTCTTTCTCCAAATTTTGTTATGATTTGAGAGCAAATAGGTACATTTCAGGAGAAAAGAATTATTAAAATTCTCTTTTTGAAATTATGGGATTAGGGGAAGAATTGCAGAATTTTTTTTAGGTGAATCCCCTTTTTATTTTTTTTCTGACATGAATTATGCCTTTTCTTACAGTTGAAGGAAAGGTGTTTCAAAACAGGTTGCTAGACAGTGTGAAGAATCTTAAAAGTGAGTGAAAAATATGATGAGAAATCAAATAAATCTGAGATATTATTGTATATTTTCACATATGCTAACTTATTTTTTATTACATTAAAAATCCCATATGTATACTTTCTCAATATTTATGCATGTGTTATATACGTTGTGCCATAAATCCCTGGAAAATTACCCAGTCCTTTTAAAATTTGCACTTTGTTGATTGAATGAAAGATAAAGTCGAATTATCAGTTGATCCTCCTTGTACCCTTGACTGGGTGTTACTGCACCTTAACATCTTCTTGATTAAAGTGTTAACAATAATACACATGAATTAATGCAGATTTTTATCACATCTTGATATCTTTCTTGCCTCTTATAAGGAGGAAAGATTGATGTGATTAACCTGGACACATTTTTGGAAAATATGGGGATTGAACTTTCACATGAAGAGCTTGAAGATTTTTCACAAAACCTGCCAGTTGATGGTGAGCATTGTAGATAAAAATATATTACCTTTAGGATATCTTAGGTTTGAGAGCATCTGTAAATTAATGATAGTACTTATTTGGTATTAACAGGGCATTTTGAAAAGCTTGTAGCCAAACTCAGGTCTCAAATGAAAACACATCCTTGTCTCTTCATTAATCCAAAACCAACAAATGTTTTCTGCTGTGAATAATAAAAATTGGTAAGAATACTAACATATCAAAAAATGAAGAAGAGGAAGGAAGATAGAATGAGAACAATTTTAAAGAAACGTTAAATAATAAGTCAGAAGAAAAAAACAAACTATAATGAGGGGTAATTAAAGTTGACTAATGGTTGTTTCTAGTGTGTATGCCTCAGTTGTTCTGATATAAACAGAAGATTAAAACAAGACAAAACACTAAGAATTTTAAAAGAGGTATATAACTACAGATAGTATGCATAATGATACTCACTGTTGTGTATAATGTGGGATTAGGGTATTATATATATTAATACAATGAACATTTTCCAGGGTAAAATAAATTAGTTACCAATATTAATCAAAGAAGAAATGAAAATATAAATAGGCCAATAATGATAGTTGGAAAAAACTATCAAATAAGTATACCTATCAACCACCACCCATCACTCCAACAAAAGGTGACAGGCCTGCAGAGTTTTGAGAATAAATTCCTTCAAATTTTCAAGGAATGTTTATTTTAATGCTAGCTAAACTGGTCCAGAGGACTCCAGTGCAAGATGATGAGAAAAATAAAGTCCATTTAGTCTTTATTTCCTCTAATACCTAACAAAGGAGCAACAAAAATGAAAAAGTAAAAAATCCACAAACGAAATTTAACATCAATCAACTAATTTAAAAAAAAGACAAATATAATGGCATAAATATTTAAAGGAGACAACCATGGAGACACATATGTATAGAGAATGGACTTCTGGACACAGCGGGGGAGGAGAGGATGGGACAATTTGAGGAAGTAGCATTGACATATATACACTCCCATGTGTAAAACAGAGAGGTAGTGGGAAACTTATGTATAACACAGGGAGCCCAGCTGGTGCTCTCTGAGAACCTATAGGAGTGGGACAGGGGGAGGAGAGGAAGGAGGCTTAAGAGGGAGGGAATATGTATGTAATTATGACTGATTCACACCATTGTATGGCAGAAACAAATGCAACATTGTAAAGCAATTTTCCTCCAATTAAAAAAAAGATTCTAAAGTAGAAACTACTGTGACAGAGCTAGGCTCCTCTGAGCCTCTCCCCTCTCTCAGAAATTAAACTGGTGAAATCCAGAGAGTTATCACTAAAATGCCCAGATCTGGGGTGAAGAAAACTGGGTACATAACTTTTTTCTCTCTCCATTTATGAGGAAGAAGTAGAAACAGTTGTTGCGGAGAAGTGGCTACAACAGAGAAAATGAATGATTGGAATCGCTCATTGACAAAAGTAAAAGCTTCAGATCTATAGGCTGAATCAGGGGTCTAATCTGAAGCCCAAGAATACCATCCCATGGACAGATCTGGGGTTTGGTGAAATGTCTTTACCAGGGTCTCAGAGCAATGACCCCTGTTGGGACATTTAACCAAAGTTCAGATACGAGAACAGGGCTCAAGTATAAGACCACGTGACATACCTCACTCCACCCTTAGATTACAATAAAAGTGGGTAAAACAATTTTCTTCAAATGCCATCTCACTGAAGAAAGCAAACTGGTCTCACATGCTGTAGAAAGGGCTATTAAAAGATACATTAAATCCTGAGAATAAAATGAAGATCTGGACAGAGTTGCTGAAGCATATGCAAGATGGAAAAAAAAAAAAAAGGATATGGTGACAATTCTAGCATTAACACAGTGAAGAAAAACAGAAAAGTGAAAAGGGAAAGTAAGAAGATAGGATGAAGGAAGATAGCATGCAAAAGAAAAATAATCCATCAAGTAGAAAATATAACCTAAGGAACAAAGAAAAAGAGGTTGTTGACAATTAATTCATATTACAGGACAACTTTAATGGATTCAGTAAAACTAAAGCTCAAAAATGAGATGGTACCATAACATATAAATATTAAAAAGGGAAATTGCAGAAGTAAAAAAAGAATAAGCACAAAAAGTCACTATAGAATTATTAAGGAAATTATAAACATCAAAATTTAAAAATATAAAGAGCTAAAAATCATATTACAGTGTGAGCAGACTTGGTACAGTAAATACAGAGAAAAAAATTAAAGTTATAAAAAAATCTAGTAGATATGGATGATTCACAAAGACATCCACCATAAGAATATCAAATATCTTTAGAAGAGAGTACAAGAATTAAAACTTTTTAATCAATGATAGTTTTTAAAAAAGAAAATTTATAAACTGGTCAACCACTTGTAAAAGAATGAAATTGGAACACTTTCTAACACCATACACAAAAATAAACTCAAAATGGATTAAAGATCTAAATGTAAGAACAGAAACTATAGGCAAAACACTCTCCAACATAAATCACAGCAGGATCCTCTATGACCCACCTCCCAGAATATTGGAAATAAAAGCAAAAATAAACAAATGGGACCTAATGAAACTTAAAAGCTTTTGCACAACAAAGGAAACTATAAGCAAGGTGAAAAGACAGCCCTCAGATTGGGAGAAAATAATAGCAAACGAAGCAACAGACAAAGGATTAATCTCAAAAATATACAAGCAACTCCTCCAGCTCAACTCCAGAAAAATAAATGACCCAATCAAAAAATGGGCCAAAGAACTAAACAGACATTTCTCCAAGGAAGACATACAGATGGCTAACAAACACATGAAAAGATGCTCAACATCACTCATTATCAGAGAAATGCAAATCAAAACCACAATGAGGTACCATTACACGCCAGTCAGGATGGCTGCTATCCAAAAGTCTACAAGCAATAAATGCTGGAGAGGGTGTGGAGAAAAGGGAACCCTCTTACACTGTTGGTGGGAATGCAAACTAGTACAGCCACTATGGAAAACAGTGTGGAGATTTCTTAAAAAGCTGGAAATAGAACTGCCATATGACCCAGCAATCCCACTTCTGGGCATACACACCAAGGAAACCAGATCTGAAAGAGACACGTGCACCCCAATGTTCATCGCAGCACTGTTTATAATAGCCAGGACATGGAAGCAACCTAGATGCCCATCAGCAGACGAATGGATGAGGAAGCTGTGGTACATATACACCATGGAATATTACTCAGCCATTAAAAAGAATTCATTTGAATCAGTTCTAATGAGATGGATGAAACTGGAGCCCATTATACAGAGTGAAGTAAGCCAGAAAGATAAAGACCATTACAGTATACTAACACATATATATGGAATTTAGAAAGATGGTAACGATAACCCTATATGCAAAACAGAAAAAGAGACTCAGATGTATAGAACAGACTTGTGGACTCTGGGAGAAGGCGAGGGTGGGATGTTTCAAGAGAACAGCATTGAAACATGTATATTATCTAGGGTGAAACAGATCACCAGCCCAGGTTGGATGCATGAGACAAGTGCTCGGACCTGGTGCACTGGGAAGACCCAGAGGGATCGGGTGGAGAGGGAGGTGGGAGGGGGGACCGGGATGGGGAATACCTGTAACTCCATGGCTGATTCATGTCAATGTATGACAAAACCCACCACAATATTGTAAAGTAATTAGCCTCCAACTAATTTAAAAAAAAAAGAAAATTTCTATAAAATGAAGGAATGAATGCAGATCAAAAATGTCACACCAGGCTCCAGAAAATGTTGATCCAGAGTACTCTACAGTGAAATATTTTCTAGGTTGCTCACTGAACCTTAAGGAAAAATGAGAATTTTTCAGACACACAGATGATAGAAAGCAGGTAACAGATGAGGAGAGGAAGTGATGGGTTTCCAAAGCCACATTCAACTCCAAAAAGAATGTCAGAGTATCTACAAAGGTGAAAAAGAAAGTGTGACAAAGAGTATTATGTACAACTATGATGTCATTCAAATATACATAAAAATTTTATATATAAATATAAAATTCCAACTTTTAATAATGGAAAAAACTAAATGAATTCAGCACCTCTTGAAAAAAAGATGATGAAATATAGTTAAGAAATAACTGAAAATTGAGCAAAAGGAAACAATGGTGAAAAGACTGGTGGTGACCTGTAACTCTGAATATAGAGCAAGTACTAGACAATTGTGGGGATGATAGACATAAAATAACATGTTTATATGTGTTAGTATAACAATGATAGCATAACTAATAAAAACATGAAAGTGAGGGGAGAAATGAGAGGAAGTGAGAAAATGCTTTTCATAGCAGGAAATCAGGTGATAGTTTCTAAAATTGAAAGATTAAGTTTGAAAATATGGTTTCACCTCTGTTTTTCATATTCTTTTAAAATTAACTGGATATCTTCATAAATATCTCTTGTACTAAGGTATATTTATTAGAAATTGAAGATTCTTATTTTTAAAACCATATTTATAGTACTTTTTGAAACTAATTCTCCTTATATCTATCTTACCTGTGCAACTTCATAGATGAGAGTCTGTGGAATAACCAGTGATCATTTCTATGGGAGATAGGATTTGGAGGAATGTCTTTCCTTTTCCTAGTACATAGAGAAATATATAATACATAGAGAAAAGTGTGTAAAACTTGAATTTCCTGTGTAACTAATGGTTATAAAACAAACAGCTGTATACTCTCCACCAACATCTAAAATCCACCATGTGTTCTCTTTCCCAACACTGCCCACTCAGTTTATTCATATTTTACCACATAAATATGCATCTCAAATTTTATAGTTCACCCATATTTTGAACTTCATATGAGTGGAGTCACACAGCAAGGAACATTTTGTCACTGGCTTCTTTTTAGTGAGTGTAGGGGTAACTTACTGAAGGTTAAGTTTATGTTTTTCTGATTACTAATGAGGTTGAGACCTTTTTATATATCTATTAATTATTTGCGTAGCCTCTTTTGTGGACTGCCTTTTAAATTATATT